AGAATACAATACAGTCCACTAAATCTCGGACTCAACTTACCCTTATATCAAAATCTCAGCACCTTCTTCCAAGAGATACTTTCAAAAAAACCTAATCCATAACTTGAAATTTGATGTCTTTCATCCTCTAATCAGTATAAGAGTTATGTCTTTCAAATGCCTCTCTCAAGTGATCAAGGATCAATCTAACAGTATCCTTAGTCTCTTTGACTAACTCTAGACCCAAAGTCTTCCTATCATGTAACTTAGTTTAATATATAAGAGTACAACATATATGCTCATACAGAGCCTCATATTGTTTTATATGAATACTAGCCTGATACTTGTTATTATAAGCAAACTCGGCTAGGGGCACGAAATTTTCCCAATTACCATAGAAGTTAGTCGCATGACCCCGCAACATATCTTCTAGAATATGAATCACTCTCTCAGACAAATTATTGGTTTGTAGATGAAAGATTATATTGAAATTCATTCCGGTACCTAAGGTCTTGAGTAGATCCTTTCAAAATCTTGAAGTAAATCTCGGATCTCAATCAGAAATGATAGATAATGGAACACCAAGCAATATAATAATCTCTGAGATATACAATATATCTAGCTTATATAGAGAATAACTAACTCAAGTAGGGATAAAGTGAGCTGACTTGGTGAGTCTATCAAAAATTATCAGACAAAATCCTTTTTATAAGGAGTCAAGGGCAGACTAAAAACAAAGTCCATCGTAATGCACTCCCACTTCCACTATGGAATCTTGATAGGCTACAATAGACTAGACAAATGCTAGTGTTCTACCTTAATCTGCTAACAAGTCAAACATCTAGCTACATAATTATAAATATAATTCTTCATGCCAACCCAACGGTGTATCTCTCTTAGATTATGGTGTATCTTATCTCATTTGGGGGTGTAACATAAGGACTACTATGAGCCTTACTGAGGATAACTCGTCTCATCTCTACATCATCAGGCACAAAATAATAATCTTTGAAGCATAAACTTATATCCTAGCCAAAAACATAATCTGAGGTAGACCCTTACATAACTTACTTCATAATGGAAAGTAATGAGATATCTAGAATATGCTTGGCCATAATCTTCTGAGCCAAGGTTGGCTTAACTTGTAACTCTATTAATAGAATGGCATCATCATATAACTTTATCATGAAACTAATGACTTCTGGTCGAATATCGCTTTACGGCTCAAAGAATCAGCAACAACATTAGCTATACTTGGGTGGTAATCAATCTTGCAACATAGTCCTTAAGAAGCTCGAACCAACAACGTTACCTCAAATTAAGTTCTTTTTGAGTAAGAGGATACTTCAAACTCTTATGATCGGTATAAATATAACATTTCTCTCTATAAAGATAGTACCTCTAGATCTTTAGGGAAAATATCAGAGTTGTTAACTCAAGATCATGATTCAGGTAATTACACTCATGTGGCCTGAACTGATGAGATGCATAAGCGACTACTCTCCTTTCCTGTATCAAAATACAACCAAGTTCAAAGTATGAAGCATCACTATAGACCGTGAAATTCTTCCCAGGCTCGGGTTAAGTCAATATCAAAGTTTGGATCAAATTTTTTTAATTTATTAAAACTCTCATGTTGTGCATCACCCTAGAAAAAAAAGGTATTATTCCTTAACAATTTTGTCAAAAGGGCAGTAATGATGGGAAATCCCTTGACAAAGTGTCTGCAGTACCCAACTAAACCCAATAACTTGTGGATCTCAGAGAGATTCTTGAGTTACTTCCAACCCAAAATGGCCTTACTCCCAAAGCCAGAATTCACATTTAGTTAGTTTGGCATACAAACGATTTTTCTTTCGGTGTTTTTAGAAAAATCCTTAGGCGCTCATCATTTTTACCTCATTCTGAGAATAGACCAGAATATCGTCAATGAATACCACTATAAACTGAACTAAATAGGTTTAGAACATGTGATTCTTTAAATCCATGAAAGTCGCTAGAGCATTGGTGAAACTAAATGGCATCACCAGAAACTCATAATACCTAAATATGGTATGAATAACAGTCTTCACAACATCAGAGTCCTTCACCTTCAACTAATAATATCCAATCAAATTTTAAAATGTAGTGGCTCCCCGAAATTGATCAAATAAGTCATCGATCATGGGCAATCGATATTTGTTCTTAATCATCAGTTTGTTCAACTTTCAATAGTTAATACACAATGTTGTAGGATAGTATCAACAAATCAAATCAAAGTTTAACTTCCTTTTTCAACCCTTAGTATAATTATTACTGCAACAATAAACACAACATAAATATGATCTCAAATTAGGGAATGTAATGTCCACTTATTAAAATCTCTATATACAGAGTGTAATAGTGTTCAGGCTAGGTGTATCTAATTAATACTTAGAGAATTTAGGAAAAAATTGTTCTTACTTTGTTAATGATTTTTAATGTTGTAGTAATATTTCTAACCTATAACTAATGTTGGAGCCAGTTGTGGGCCACTCTATTTTATTCGATTATTGTTTTCTATATACATTGCTAAAGCTAGTTAGTGGTGTCTTTAGCAGATTGGAATAATATGCAAATTTTGTTTACCAGAGCCAGTTTCAAGCACCTCTAGTTCTATTCCTAAAAAATTCTATGATTTATATAACATCTAATAAAGATATGAGATTTTAAGTCCAAAAATTTATAAAGTCTCTATGTATTGAGAATATACACCTATAGTGTAAAAGGGTTTCTATGGATCATAATCTTAACAAGTATCTAAAACATGCTCATATCATTTCACAATTTATTCTTTCATCATAGGGAATAATCAAATTTCAATTAAAACTTCATTAATCTAATAATACTAAACCTATAGAGTCATTTATGCAATTCCTAAATGCTCTAAACAATATGTTCATTTATGCAACAAAACAAATGCAATAGAATGCAACAGTAAATGCAGTAACTAACATGTTATCCTACATAACACAATATGTATGATAACTCTCCAAAAGCGTTATTATTTATAGTCATTTTACTTAGGTTAAGCTTTTACTTTAGCATTTTTAATCATATTTAGATTTCTTTCAACATATTTTACATCAATTGCATATTGGGAGTGAATTGTTGGTACTTTGGTTGATTTTAATGTTTTTGTTGTAAATTGATATACTGATGTTGTGGCATTGTTGATGTTGTAGCCGTTACTATGCGTTAATGTTGAACTGGATTGTTGAGACGATTTTGTAGCAACTGCTGAGTCACAAGGTAATTAGAGAAATTTTAGAAATTGATAAAGCTATGGGAAAAAGGCTGAAACTTAAATTTAAGAAGGTTTTTTTTCAGGAAAAATGAACTTTTTTATTGGTGGAAAGTTTGACTTTGATGGGCTATAAATAAAATATTTTCTACACACTTTATTCAACCTTGAAAAATCCTAATTTTCTTAGTCGCCTTTTATTTTCCTCTTTACCGTCGCCATGGCAGCTAAAAACTTTTGGGAAAACATCACTTGGACGTGAAGCATGTTACAATCATTAGGTGACCGACAATAGATTGGGCATCATCTTAGCGATTTAGATTGAACTTAAAAAGGGAATTTATTTTGTTAAGATGATTTGTTTTTATTTTATGTTGAGATGTTAAACTTTAATCTTTTATTTTTAATATATTTTATGAATTTCATATTTATTCATCTTGCCTTAGTATTATTGATTGGTGTTGCTTGAGTTTAATTTTTGGCTTGTTTGTAGAGATATAAATTGCCAGTAATGTTGTGAAAGTTGGTTACATCATGAATAACATTACCGTCTATGAGAGCAACATTTAGCATGAAATAGATTTTTGCTAAATGTTTTTTCATAGCATTCTTAGTACGTTTATCTGAATTGCTATGAGATATAGTCTTTCTTGTAACTTTTTTTGTGAATATTTTCGAGAGAATAATAAAATGCTAGGTTAATGCTAGACACATCAATCGTAATGCTACAACATTACTAATTGCATACTACTATTTGACATCCCATAATCCTTTGCTTAAATCGATCATTTTTTTATTTACTTCTGTTGTAATTATATTCTTTTTTTTATTACATTGCTATAACATTTCTCCCTATATCAACTATACAAAATTTTACATTTGTTGCATAACAATTCTTTGATTAATACTAGTATCTGTGGATACGATACTCGATGCATTAATTTGCATCCACTTGTATTACTTAATACGATGGTGTATGCTTGCAGTTTTGCTATTACATTATTTGAAGCATCAAATTTTTGGCGTCGTTTCTGTCGATTAGTTTCATTGCTTTTAAAGTTTTTCTTTTATTTAGTAACTTTTCTTTTATTTAGTAACTTTTCTTTTACTTTTTGTAGGTAGATTTAGTTTGGAGTTGTTGGTACATGACCCGCAACAATAACCAGGGCTTAACATCTTTTGAACCGAAGATAGAGAGAATTTTTCACTAAAGGAGACAACAAAATCAACAAATCTAAACATGAATCATAATGATGTGGGAAACGATGGTGAACTACCATTGTTAATCGAGGATGATCACAATATAGCAAACAATAATGGGCAAAATAACAAGAGAATTCCACCCTTGCACAATGAACCGATGCAGCCACATTACCAAAAATTGATGATAGAAATAGGGCAATCCCAGAGAAAATTTTGTCCATTTTAGATAACTTAAATATTAGCATTGATCGACCAACTATCCATGTTGCCTATTTTGGATTGAAGTTATTGATGTTACAAATGTCTTAATCAAAGGGGAAATATAATGGGATGCAAATCGAGGACCCTAGAGTACACTTGTAAGTATTTATGAAAGTGTCTAATTTATTTGTACAACAAAGAGTGTCTGAGGAGGCTAAAGTTGAAGTTGTTTCTATACTCGATTTGTGACAAAGCCAAGGCGTGTCTCAATTTGATGCCACATGGTGTTATAACATCTTGGAACGAACTTGCCCAAAAGTTCTTGTTACATTTCAACCCTCTCAAAATTAATGCAAGGCTAAGAAATGACATCATATTTTTCAAGAAAATGGTAGATGAAAACTTTTATGAAGCTTGGGATAGATTTAAAGACTTGCTGTTGAAATGTTTGATGCATGGTTTCCAGTATCAGACACAAATGGAAATATTCTAGAATGGACTAAACATGCAAACAAGGATTGTTGTAGATGCTTCTACCAATGAAGCATTGTTGGACAAGTCCTACAATAAAGCTTATGATATCTTAGAGATGATTTCCAACTATAACTACCAATACCCTCACACAAGGATTGTGTCGGGTAGAAGCATTTCTACAATAATAGACAATGATGCTCTGAACACGCTGACTACACATGTGACAACAGTGATTGAAATGATGAAGAATATGCAGAAACCTAGAGGTTTTATATGGTAAAAGCTACATCTGTTGTTAATTGTGTTTATTGCGGTTATGACCATAGTTTTGAAGAATGTCCACAAAACATGAGTATGTGTATTTTTTGAGAAATTATAATATAAATGATAATGTCAATGCTTATAGGAACACCTACAATCCGAACTTACGAAATCATCCCAACTTGTCTTGGATAAGTTAAAATCCAACCCCAATATGGCATTACAATCAAATTTTGGGAATAAACAGTAGGATTATTCGTAGCAACAATATAATCAATAGTAGCCAATGCAACAACATTAATAGTCACATCATCAAGTAATGTCACAACAACAACCATCAAGGTTATCAAGGGTAGACTTCTAACCAAGCTTTAACATCGACCTCACTTGAGTCTCTACTAAAGAAGTACATCTTAAGAAATGAAGCGACGAATCAAAGGAATAAAGCTTTGATCCAAAGCGAGTCAACATCACTGAGATCATTAGAGAATCAAGTTGGACAACTAGCCAATTCGCTCAACAACAGACCACAAGGAGCATCGCCAAATGACATTAAAGTTTTAAAAGTTAATGGGAAAACTTATTACAATGAGCATTGTAAAGCCATCACAACATGTAGTGGACTTTACCTTGGAAAATCAAATGATGAATACAAAAAGAATGAGGATGAGAGGCATGGATAACAATATAAAGGCGATGAGTTAGAAGTGGAAACTGAGACACCAAAAGTGGATGTCACAGTAAAATATACATGACTAAGTAGTAATTCAGGGACATTACCTCCAGAAATGTCGATAACACTGTATGTGATGCCACCAGAATTGTTAGTGTAACAGAATCCAAGACCTCTACCTCCATTTCCTCAACGATTCAAGATTACCAAAGAGAACCAAAAATTCAAAACTTTCATTAATGTGATAAGAAAAGTGACAATCAAAATTCTGTTTATTGATACATTAGAGCAAAATTTGAATTTCATCAAGTTCATAAAAGAGGTACTTTCAAAGAAGCGAAGACTTGGTGAGTTCAAAACTATTTCACCCACTAAAGGGTGTAGTGCTATGGCTACGAGTAGATAGCTAATAAAACTAAAGGATCTAGGGAGTTTTACTATCCCTTGTGTTATTGGTGATCGATTTGTATGGATTTTTACTATACCTTTGTTTATTTTCAGGAAATTTGGCATTGGAGAAGCAAGACCTACTGTTATAACACTTCAACTTGTTGATCGATCTATTGTTCACCCTGAGGGCATAATAGATAATGTGTTTCTAAGTGGATAAATTCATTTTTCCAGCAGATTTAATTGTTCTAGACTTCGAAGCTGAAAAATAAACCAAACATATTAGAAAGACCATTATTGCTACAAGCAAAACTTTGATTGATATGGAAAATGGAGAACTTACAATGCATCTTAATGACGAGCACATTACTTTTAATGTTTTGAATAACGTTACACATGATGATAATAATGTTGAGTGCCAGTCTATTGACATTATTGATGTTATTGTGTAGTAACACTTGGATGAATGTCACAACATTGATACAACCAAGTGTAATGTTGTGACAATAGAGGAATACGAGGATAATGGGATTATCAAGGGTGAAGGAAATTATGTTTAACTTATTGAGTTATTAGACCTTTCAATAAGACCAATTAAGTTTCCTCATCCATTTATCGAAGAACCCCCCTCTTGAGTTAAAGCCTCTATCCAATAATTTAAAATACATATTTCTTGAAGAAAATGCGACTTTTCAATTATTGTTGTAACAAAGATTGAAGCAACACAGGAGGAAAAATTGCTCAATATTATAAAGCAACATAAAAGGGCTATTGGCTAGAGCATGATGAGATCAAGGGAATTAGCCTAGAGTTTTGCATGCACAAGATATTGCTAAATGATCCAAACAATATTTCTGTTGAGCAGCAAATGAGACTAAACCTAATTATGAAAGAGGTTGTCAGAAAAGAAATTATCAAGTGGTTAGATGTTGGAATCATTTATCACATTTCAAACATCAATTGGGTGAATTCAGTTAATGCGTGTCAAAAAGGGTATCATCACCATTGTTTCAAATAAGAACAAATGAGTTAGTTTCTACTTGTACCACGAATATTGGCACATCTGTATGGACTATAAAAAGTTGAACAAAGCCACAAAGAATGATCATTTTCCATTTTCGTTCATTGACTAGATTTGGATAGACTTACTGGCAAAGTATTTTATTGCTTTCTTGATAGTTATAGTGGCTACAATCAGATAGTAATTTGCACTTGAAGACCAAGAGAAAACTACTTTTACATGCCCTTATGTACATTTGCTTTTCAGAGGATACCGTTTTATATGTGCAATGCTCAAACAACGTTTCGTCATTGTATGATGGCTATGTTTTCTAACATGGTTGAAGACTTCCTGAGATATTTATGGATGATTTTTCTGTATTTGGCCAAAGTTTTGACCAATTCCTTGACAACCTAACAACTATTATAAAACGTTATGAAGAAACCAATCTTGTGCTTACTTGGGAGAAATGTCACTTTATGGTGACTGAAGACATAGTGCTTGGGCATCGCATATTATATTGTGGCATTGAGGTGGACTAACCAAAAGTTGAAGTCATTAAAAAGTTACCACCTCCCACCAATATTAAGGCAATAAGAAGTTTTCTAGGCCACGCGAGTTTCTATCGAATATTTATCAAGAATTTCTCAAATATTATGACCACTCTGCTCATTGCTAGAGAAAGACAAAAAATTTGTCTTTGATGATGAAGCTCTTGCTACCTTTGAATGTATTAAGCTGAAATTGGTGAATGTTCCCATTGTTATTACACGTGATTGGAATTTTCCTTTTAAGTTAATGTGTAAAGCAATTGATCATGCTATTGGTGCAGTGTTGAATTAAAAAAACAACATATCTTCCATGCTATTCACTATGCCAGTAGAACCTTGAATGATGCGCATGTAAATTACACAACAAATGAGAATGAACTACCTGTTGTAGTTTTTTCTTTTTTGATAAATTTATATCTTATTTTGTGGGAACAAAAGTGATTGTGTATGCATATCATTCAACATTGAAACACTTGCTGGAAAAGAAATACACCAAACAAAGATTGATGCATGATAACTCCGTAAAAAGACTCAATTTCTAGTATTTTCACTTAAGTTATTACTCGTCTAAACAAAGTATGCACAATATTTTAGTTGCATTTAGGTTATATTTGCATGTGGTGGATAAGTTTTGCTTCGACAAGATTTATTTGGTTTAACTGATATTGCTGAGGAGAAAGGGTTTGTGTTGATTCTGTATGTGCAAGAAACTTACAGAGGAAGAACATTTCAGTCGCAACAACGTAATTTGAAAGGGTCAATGGAACAGAGAAGAACGCGAGGAGCAAGCCCTAAATATTATGACAGCCGCCATTCGCCTTTCCTTTTTTAGTCTGGACAAAATAATAACGGTTATTTAAGGAATCTCTAATCATGTGAAACCCTTGGAGATTCCTCTCTATAAATATTTAACCGTAGCCGCCAAAGAGGAAAGAGAAAGTTAGAAGAGCTTTACTGAAGGTGTGAGCGAGCAACTGCAGTGCTTTCCCACCATTTACCAACCGACCTTCCTTGGTACACTCCATAACCAGACTGTAGCAGAGCGGTGGTCAAGTCTTGAGAGAGGTTGATCACCAAGGCAGGCGCGGTGCTGACCAGAATTGTCACGATAGAGTCCCAGTTTTGGGAGTCATTATTCCTTTGTTCTTAAATTATTTATATGTTTGGGGTTATATTAAACGATGATACTTGGATGAATTTTTTATAGCACCATGATTGTCTTACTTGGTGTTAGTCTTTGTTTTGCCTAAATAATTATTTTCTACTTTATTAATGATGAATTATGATTTTGCTCATGATTGCTTTGTTCGTTGTTTGAATATTTTACCTTAACACTGTAAGAGCTTCGAGAGATTGTCTGAGGTCATGGTAAAACATGTCTTGGCAATGTAAGAGCATCGAGAGATCACCTTTTTCCTAGATAGTGATTCTTAGATTCAAGAGAATTAAGATAGATCTACGTGAGCAATGGAATGGATCCGAGATGGTGATGTTCTAACTTGTCTACCTTAGAGATAAGGAGCGGGTTTCAATCGACTAAAAGGGATAGACGCTAGAGTAGGATAGAAAACGACTATAGCTCACGCTGAGAGGTATTACTACAACAACAGTCTGACAAACCAAGGGTTGTAGTTAACGCTAAGTAGTATTGCCATAACAACCTTCTAAGAATACTTAGTAATCCTGTCGGGCAGCTTAAGCAAGTCATAATAATTCATTCTAGACTTAGAATAATTATTTTCAATGCAAAAGATTAGCATAAGTCTGAATATATGAGGCTGCTTGAATTATATTTAAATCAACACTTGTTTTTGTTTTGTTTTATTTTATAGTCTGTATATTTATTTTGTCTCAACCAAACTTTTATGCAAGCATACATTATAGTATTTTCTTGTTTTATTAATATTAGCTTTGTAGTTTGACAAGATAATAGGAATTAGCTTGTGACAACTAGTTATGGTTGTGGTGAAGGTTAAAATTTTAGACCAATCCCTGAGGAGATGATAACTCACTTACCCTATATTACTTGATTCGATTGTGTATACTTGCACATAATTGCTTACCTTAGAATATACATTTACAAGCGATCAAGTTTTTAGCACCGTTGTCAGGG